CACACCCACACACAAACAACACACACACACACACACACACACACACACACACATACACAAACAAAAAAGCGAACTTCCCCCCTTTTTTTTTCGGAGGCCCCGCGCGAGGTCAAATTTTTCATTATTTTTGTCAATATTTTTTTATGGTTTATGATGCGACATCCCACTCGGGTCTAAAACAACCCTCCCCAACTTTTTTTTTTCTTGACCCCTTATTTTCGGAGTGCGCCGCACCCTGTGCGCGCGCGTCGTGCGCTGTGCGCAGTGCGGCGCGTGTGGGCGGTGCAGAGCACGTCGATGCGCCGCAAGTATGGTACATTTGGACTAATGTTTTCTCGTTTATTTTTATCTTGAAATTAACAAGGAATTTTGAGGTGGCCCTCAGGCAAAAGTCGTTTGTATTGCAATTTTACACAACATATTTTTTTTCCGGATTTTTTTTTTTTTTTTTAATATTATGCGCTGGGATCCCCTGGGAGAGTACCCGGGCGACCTTCCCCCAGCCAGGCCGCCGGGGGACTAACACAGGCATAACATAGTTTTCTTTTGGATCTTTTCGAAAGCTTATTTTTATTTGTTTTGTCGTGCTGAGGCTGCCTGGGGCTAACATAGTTTTCTTTTGGATCTTTTTGAAAGTTTATTTTTTATTTGTTTTGTTGTGCTGAGGCTGCCTAGGACCTTGCCTGAGACTTTGCCCAGACCTCGCCTGGCCGGGGCCATCCATGCAGCCCAAGGTGGACCGGGCAACCTGGCTGGTAGGCTAGATCAGTGGTGATTTTTCAGCACAGGACATCAGGGTAAACTCAGGGTCCACTGGACTACGTCTGGTCTATATACTGAAAACCACCAGTCCATCCGAAGTTACTGTTCATCTGTTTCCATGTACAAGTACTGAGAGCAACGGATGAACACTAACTTCCAGCCCCAAAATGTCTGTGGGAGGCCTGTACTTTTCAACAATACACAGACGGCTACCAGTACGGTGTTGGTTTATCCAAGGCCCGTGCCAGTCACTTTTAGGCTCGGCAAAATGCATTTTTTTTGACTCGTCAATTTAGGTTTAGGATGGACTGGTGGTTTACATCACTGTTTACCCCCCGCCCCCCCCCCCCTTCAATACCAATCATTAGATTTCCATAGAAAAGCATAGATAGCCAATGGGAACTGCCTGTAAAAAAACCCATGTCACACCAACACTACAAATACCATGAAATTTACCGATCAGGGAACAACTGCACATCATGCACTGCCCCTGACACGCCACCTTCCATATCCTGTCTGTGGAACAGAGTCCCCGGCCTGAACAACCGCACTGGGTTTCTCACTCAAGGGATTGCATCCTCCATTGGCACCTCTCAAGCCTCGCAGTCATTACAGAATTCCAGAACAACAAAAGAAGACATGAAACATATACACATACAACAAGAGAGTGAACAACTACACGAGCAATAGAAAAAACACGCAAACGATAGGAAACGATTCATGTTGGTGGAAGTGGGAATGATCAAGCCTACTTACGAGTCTATCCAGATAGCGCTGTGCTTCAGCCTCCAACTTCGGCTTTGTCTGTGCATATGCCTTCACAACACGGTATACATCTACACGCATACTGCACAGAACAATTTCAAACACCTTTCAGCAAAGGACAATGGAAACCTGCCGAAAATACCACAGAAAACAGTACCGAACCACTGAGCGACTGAACCTTATTTTTATGTTAAACCAGCCGCACAAGTTCTGGTTCCATGGATGATGTGTTTTGTCCGCATGAGAGATAAGTTACCAGGTCAGATGTCCAGCAGGTCGTCAGTTCATCCAACTTCAACATGGACACGCCCAGCCAAACAGCTTGCCAGATGATCCGGATGTCAGGGGGTATAATCAATTCTTGCACAATATTCCTATAGATCGTGCTGACCTAGACTATAGGCCGAGGAGGAATGACACTTACATGAGAGATAAGTTACAAGGTCAGATGTCCGGCAGGTCGTTAGTTCATCCAACTTCACCATGGACACGCCCAGCCAAATAGCTTGCCAGATGATCCAGAGGTTAGGGGGTATAATCAGTTTTTGCCTGGGTTAGGCTGACGCCTGGTCCAGATGGACCGCGCCTGACAGACCAGGCCAGATGGATCCGGGGGGGTTCGTCCAGCAAAACCAGACGAGCCAAAAACGTCCCAGGGGCCAGAACTATTTTTATTTTATTTGAAGATGGGGTTGGACTGTGCTCGCTGAGAGGAGCCCAAATCCGCAAAGAAACTTGTGATGGGCGTTCTTCTTCTTCTCTTTTTTTCTCTCCTGGTCTCATTCCACTTCTTCTCAATTTGCGATAAACAGCTTGTCTCAAAGTTTGAGTCTATGCATCTTGACATGGACAGCAACATAGTAGAAAGAACGCCCTGCCATTCTCTTGCTTTCTTGACTTGCAGTAAGGGGGTTCCTTCCATTCATTGAATTCCATTCATTTATCATTACATTTCACCCATTGTTGATAAACAGAAGGTGATTATGCTCAGGAGATGAGGAAGATGACCTTGGTCTAAGCTCCTCTTCTTATTTTTCTTTTTCTTCTTCTTTGTTACTATCCTGGCCAATTTCGAAGTACACATTCATGAGCAAGCACAATGCCGTCCAATTGCAAAAGAACCAATGATAATTCCCTTTCTTCTTGCCAACCACTCTCCTCCTCCTTTTTACCTCCCCTCTTATTCAAACAATAGATACCAATAATAATGTTGAATGGCTGATCCTGAATCAATGTCCGAATCCCTCTTCTACTGCAGGCACGACATGAGGTCCACCATAGCCATGGCCACGCCTCTTCCTCCTCTTCATGTAGGCCAAGGCTATGGCCGACTACTAGGGTCTCGCTCTGCTGCGCAGAGGACAACACAAAGCCGCTATACTCGCTGCTGTTCAGGCCATCATGCCTGACTCTGCCTGGAAGCTTTCTTGGTGCGGCGCAACCCCGACTGGGGCCTTCCAGATGCAGCGCCTAACAAGGTGATGAAGAAGGTGCCCACCATAGCCAAGTAGGTGCCTCGCCACTCTCCCTAATAGCCCTTTCTTCCTCCTCTTCCTACCGGTAGAGCTCCACCATAGCCAAGGTGGGAGCTCCTGGTCTCCTTTCTCCTAGCAGCGCTGTAATGCCCAGTGCTCCTCCAACCAACACTCCAAGCAGTGTGTTGCCAAACTTGCACACCGAAGAACAAGGAGCAGCACTTTTCTCCTCCTGGAGATATAGCGGCCTACTTGCCTCTTGGGCGGTGACTTCCTAGACTGCGCGGCCTCCAAGCAACCGGTACCTCCTCCCTTTCGGAGAGAAACATCATTGCAGACTCTGATATTGCCCGTACAGTCCCTAGACTCAGACTGGTTGGACTGTACCCGCCTAGACCGAGCCTACAACTACTGGGCCTCTAAATTGCCCATTTTTGTCGTCTTCTGCTCCGCCTCGAGTACCCGGCACATCTACTTCTACTTGGTGCCGTACCGGCCTACCTGCCACTTCAGTGTTTTTCCACTGCTCTAAGTGTTGCGGGCCTCTTTCCCTGCCACTTGAGTGTTTTCCCCCGCTGCAACCCTCAATGTCACGGCCACAGGTAAGTACCGTCTGCAACCCTCAATGTTACGGCCACAGGTAAGTACCAGCCCTACGGGCCTCCCAAACAAGCAAGTACCGTTGTGGGTCACACACACTCAGGCCGACCAGCACTCAGACAGGCACGCAGACCATCAAGCACACACACACACAGACTTAGAAAACTCAGCAGAATTTGTGGGAATCTCAGCAAGGCATCCATTCCAGCGGCAGAGCTCCGAAATCAGCAGTGTTCTCATCTGTGTTTTGACAGGTCATTACATCTTCTTCTTCTTCTTCTTCTTCTTCTTCTTCTTCTTCTTTCTGTGTTTTCCTCTTTTCTTCTTCTCTCCTGATCCCATTTCCCGTCTTGATTTGTGATAAACGGCATGGCCTCGAAGTTTAGCTTTGCATCTTAAAATGGACAGGAACATAGCAAGCAGAAAGAAACAGCCAGCATTCTCTGCTTTCTTGACTAGCAGGGGAATCCTTCAGACATTGATTCTTATTCAGCCATGCATTTATGGTTGTATTTCACTCATTATTAATAAAGCAGGGGAGGTGATTATGTGAGGGAGATGGGGAAGACAACCTTGGCTCAAGCTTGTGTTCTTCTTCTTCTTTTTTTATGTGTGTCTTCTTCTTCTTTTTTTGTGTGTGCCTTCTTCTTCTTCTTTTGTGTGCGCGTGTCTTCTTCTTCTTCTTTTGTGTGTGCGTGTCTTCTTCTTCTTTTTTGGGTGTGTGTGTCTTCTTGCAAGGAAAATGAGCGATAGCGAATTTCAGAAAGCAAACAGCATCATACACATGAAACCAGATAGTCGTGCCCTCATACCAAAAGCAGAATTGCAACTGTAGTTTCACGAAATAAGAGCACAGCAAAAGCTCACACGTGACAATGCTGGAATAGTCTCATAATCATCAACAATGACCCAATGTCGACTTCCTATCTGGCGCTCGGCGCTCAGACTACAAATGGCAGATCCTATCTAGCCTATCTACAATGCCGCTGGTGACGTCAACAGCTCCCCGAAGTACGAGCAGATCTCGGCCAATGCCGTTCGCCTCAAGCACCAGGTATGTCTCACGCTACACTCACAACCTCGATCCCCCACACAGATGCCACGTGCACCCAAGGACCACAATGCGCCCCATCCAGCACCTCGCAGGCCAGCTTGGCTATGGCTGCCTGTGTGAACCTTGCTCGCCCGTGAGCGCGTGGGCGCTTGCCTGCCAGTAGCTCAGCAGCGCTTGCACAGCATGTAGCAAGTGCCCGAATGCCGAATACGGAGGCAGGCACTTTCCTATATGGAAATGGCCTGCCTGCTGCGTGCTGCCTGGCTGTGCTGGGCCCCTGCCCAGAAGCTTCCGGTAGGCACCAAGTGGCTGATCCCCGGTCCAGGGGAATCAGGCACAGGGCCTGGGGCAGTTACCCACGTCCAACTGCCAGCGGCCTTGGTGCAGTCCGTGCCCCGTGTCTAGCCCAGGGCCTGCCTCAGATACATTTGATAAAGGCAGGCAGGGCCTGGGTTCACTCAACCAACTGGCACTGCGTAACTGCCTGGATTTCCCAGTTGCATGGAAAGGCCGAAATAGGCCTCTCGTCCCTGTGCAATGACTTGCTGGTTTCTGGTCATCTGTAGCCTCTCTCTTGTCGAGGCTGTACTATCTGTAGGTTAGATTCGTAATTTTTGTTTGGCTGAGGGCTAACCGAGAGGCCTGCCTGTAAGGAAATTCCTTAGGGACAGATCTGTGAATTTCGGAAAAATATAGGCCCACACTAACAAGAATTCCTACAGCTACCCTGACTGCGAATAGCAGGCCCGGGCTACCCCTAGGACAGACAGGCCTAAGGGCCTAACCTGATAGATGGTCCTATAGCCTATAGCCGGGTAGGGAGAGGCCCTAGAGGCCGAAACAGAAACGGTACCGGTCGGTCAGTAAGTCGGGTCTAGGTCGAGTCTAGGCTGGAGTACACTATAGATAGGATGGGCACATCGGTTCAGGGCTTTTGGCGGTTGGTACCGAGTGCATCGCTGCTGTGCTACGCATGAACCGGAAGTGGTGACGGCTCAGCGTTGAGGGAGACAGACATAGCCAGACCTTCGGAGCGCCGGCAATAGCTGGGACCTTCTCTGTACTCTGTCAGCACGTGGGGCTGTACAGAGGTCTGGGCTATTCGAGATCTGCTGGAGGCGAGAGAAGTTGGTGCCCTGCTGGACCCTCCTTCGGAGTGGGGTTACAGGGTAGTGGCGCTGCAGCCATAGCTGCAGCTTTTTCCTCAGAGATCATCTTGTCAAGAGTGGTGGCGCTGCTGCAGACTTCCACCCGGAAAGTCTTCCGACACCTCATCATCATCAGATACTGTGGCGCTGGTCTTCTTCTTCATCCTCTGGAAGCTTGGTCTCAGAGGCCTGTTTCAGGGTGGCGCTTCCCTCTGGAAGCTGTACATGGGTGGCGCTTGATGTTTCAGGGACTCAGGGGTGGTGATAGCAGTTCATCAGGGTTGGGGAGTGAAGCGCTGCTCATTTCTGAGCAGCGCACCATACTGAGTTTAATAAACAGTATTGATACTGTGTCCAGACTATCATTGTTTCATTGTATGCGATCTACTCGGCTTTCCTTTATGACTGGTTGTGAGGATTGAGTGGAGTGAATTGCACTTTCAGTGTACCCTGTCATATCGCATGGTAAAGTCTTCCGCTGTGTTTATCTCTTCCTGTGCGGTGTGATACTCCTATCCTCTCCCCTTCCTTCTGTGTATGTATGGGCATACCTGGAAGTCTATGTGAGTGAGTGTTGGTCTTCAGACAACAGACAACCAGAATCATAACAGTTGGTATTGGAGCAATTGGATCCAGACACTGGAGCGATTGATGAGTTACCATCATCATTTGCCGAGACACTGGAGTTGAGATTCATGGCAATTTATCATCTTCAGGGTTTGCGACAGTGAGGGTGGTGGTGGTGAGTGTGTGGTGAGAGGAATTGGACAAAGGGTGACTCATTCCTGCATAAGGTTGTGCAGGA